ATCAGATCAGCCTTTTCTTTGTTCATTTTTGCTTAGACGAAAAGTTAATGTCACCCTTTTTAGGGAATATGAAAGCTTGTGATATGTGTCTGTAATCTACTAAAGTGACCGGGTCAAAATGCAAAGCAATGGTGTGGCACGGAATGGACCAAAGAATATGACATTCTTGAATTTCCTCATCAACTGAACATCTTAAGGACTAGCAGGACTCAACACAAAGACTTAGAGGGTCTGAGCAACTATGACAAGACAGGCAAGAATGTGTACTGCATGAAAATGTACAGAAAAAATAATGTCACTGATAAACAATAATTAGAAATGAACAGAAAGAAAAGTTTAGGGTGTTTTAACAGGATAAAATGAATAAACAGCAACAAAAACACAAAATACACAAACTGTAATTTAAACAATGGCATAAAATGAATTTAATGATCAGGCTATACTTTATTTAGTACAGAAATCTGCAACCACAATATGTGCATACAGTTTTAAATATAATAATGGTAAAAACAGCAATAAAATAAATACAAGTGTATAATAATCAGATATATTTAAATATACATTGTGATTCAAGCCACAGTCTGTGAATACTGCATAATAATATTTATAGATTCGCCCTTTCCAACACTGACATGACTATCTGACCCTTCTCAGTGAGTCCCAAAAGACCAGTGTCTTCAGATGCTGTAAAATGTGCGGTGCCTGGTTACTGATAAGCACTCTGTAAAATCTTTCCAGCCACTCAGTGTGACACAGCTTAAGAGAGAAAAACTGGCTTAGAATACCCAAGAGCCAGGATTGGCAGCGAGTTTCAGTTTTCCCTGCTCAAGTAGGACTGAGAAGAAGCTGCTTAGATCTTCTCCTTAGGTACGTTCCTGCTGAGTTCCACTAATCCTTTCAACCCTCTCACAATCCTAGGGTTCTCTTATGGACAGAATCACTGATTAATATGATCTAGAGGACTCCCTAGCTCTATGAAGAGCAGATTTTAAGAAGGATGTTCACTCTTCTTGGCTTTATTTTTACAAGAACAGCGGTTGAACACTCGCCCATAACGTTTCAGCGATAGCTGCATTTGCAAATAAAATATTTGGCAAAACCAGTGGGTAATTTTACACCAGCATATTCATAAACACATCCATCTGTATAATGGAGTTGTATATTTCGAATATTCATCGAGCAAGTTACTATATTCACCAAGGCCATGGCAATATTGATGCAGTTCTGCATTGATGTTAGAGGTGCTGCATTTTCAAGAGAAACATCTTGGCAGAAGAATGAAGTGATTTCAGTTCCCACATAATTTTTCCTGACAGAGGACCAGGGGTATTGATTTAAACAGAGTAGGCATCAATTCATTGTCTCAAGGACGTCCCCTATAATGACATGTCCCAATTAACCACGTCCCATAATCTTAAATGTGAGCAGCTGTTCCCTTTATCACATTCACTGGATAAATTTCTGTTTAGAGAGGCAGCATTCCAATTGCAGATGAAGCCAAGGCATGTACACTATGCTTACAGATATCTTTTCAACATACTGGTCATGAATTTCTCCAACAATTTAACTGTGTACTTGGTGAATTTCAAGTTGGGCAAGCGTCGGATGAGAGCCATCTTAACCCCTTTCAGAACAGACTTTTGCTCAGTTTTAACCATAATAAGTTTCCATCTCATACTTTTGGGAATACTGTGCGGAATTCTGCAAAAGAATAGAGCCCAATATTACTCTAATTATAGATTACTTAGAAATAACTTGTCATTACACAAAAAAGCAGCCCTCACCTGATTTTGACTTTTGCCTTAATTTTAAAGTTAAAAGAAGCAGCAATTCAGATCTCGTCGACTGGATCATTCCCTGCCTGTTGTATGTGCCCAATTTAACTGATGTATGAATGCTACCCTTCCCAAATGAGGGCTTTGCAAATACAAAACCTTAATTCCTAACTTACATCACAAAGCTGTACTACCGCAAGTGGCACATTAATGCAGCTGCCTTACCAAGAAAGAATGGCTGAAGGTAATTCTGTCGCGACTACGTAAAATTGCCTTGAAATAATAGTGAAACTGGTTATTGCAGCATTGCTAAAATCTTTATTCAGCCCACCCTCTTACTCCTACAGATATATTCTTGCTGTTTCACCTCTGATCGTAACCATCAGTGGTGTCGCATTCTCTCACTCCATTTTGGTAATTTGGCACCCAAAGATATTGGAAAATGTTGCATTAGCTGATGGAACATAAGTCCATCTCAGCATGCATTCCATGCAGATGAAATGATCTGAAAGGAGAACATCACTACTCCTAGTGCAGACAAAGCAGATGTAATTTTCCCAATTAAGCCAACTTAAAATTGATGACATTTCACATTTAAATGAATTTACTTCATACGTGCCTCTTAATTCGTTGAAGACCACTGACTCATAACGTATCTCAGTCTATGGTTTTGTTGGCCAAAATAAACTGCTCATATGGGTAATCCTAGCAAAGATCAGCCTGCGACTGTAAAAAGCACTCTAGGTTGGTTTGTGTTTCATTTGCTCAGTTTGTGGCAATAATCCGTGTTGCCTTTTTTGTACATTCACTGGCCAAGCTGAGAGCTTTGACAGTCACATTCACAAAACTGATCCTTTACATGTGCAGAACTGTCAAATTTAACATTCACCTTTAAGTACTCTTAAACTGTAGAAATCAAAACTGAATGGCATTTTGAAAGATTCCAATGTATAATCTACCATTTTAAAATTACCTGATTCAAATGATCTAATAATTCTATTTTCTTTAAATAGAGACTCTAAACTGATACAATGTTTAGTTCAAATATATCAATAATTTGATCTTTAAAACAGCCACAATTATCTGAATCAGCAGACGTGGGCTGCTTTATCTTCCCAAAAATGTAACATGCCCTAAAAAGGAGTTATAACTTCCAAGAAATTGTAGGAATGACAAGTTCTGATATCTGGACTATGCTACTAACAATGCCACAAACCTCAAAATAGTCAAACAGCCCTAGTTGTGGCTGTAATAACATACGCACATTTCACCCATCTCCCAATATGTCCAATGTAGATAACAATATGTGTATTATTAACATGCATGTCTTTGGAAATAGACATATTGGCCAAAGATTCTAAAAAAAAATACAGTTTAGGGCTATGAAGGGAATCCAGTTTTCTGTTTAAGTTTTCTTTGCGACTAATATAGAAGGCAGTTAATAATATAACTAATGCTTTTTTTTTTGGAAACTTGCATCCTGTTCGGCTTCATCTGCCACTGTGCATCACATCTTTAAAAACAAATCTCATTTTGTAAAGCATATCTTTTGTCAAATCATTATTTCTATTTTTGATTGAGAGTTTGACATACGTCTTATTTCAAAGCAATGCTCACCACGCGCTGAGTCAGTGAGCAGGGAGCACTGCAATGTCCTAACACACAGTAGTATGGGGATAAATATTTCACAGACCATAAAATATCTTCAAAACCCAAGCACATTACAATTTCTTTTTGGTTCTGTTGAACAAATTAGCTTCTCCTGTTACAAGTTTTCCAACTACCTACATTTATCTATGTAAAATGCTGCAGAAACATGTGCTATCTATTCAGAAATCTTTTGACAATTGAAATACTTCACCTCAATAGCTGAACTGAAAAATCTCTGCACTGACTTTCACTTTGCAGTTCAAACACCTATGTTTTGTGAATTCAAACTCTTGAGTTTCCACCAAGGGAAGAAAAGTAAATGGTTCAATGAAATTTTTTGCTTCACGGCTATGTTGTCGGAGAAAAGACTCTGATATGTTTAGATGCATTTTGTACATGAATACAGACTCTCACTCACTCTCCTTGCCTGATCACAACCTAGCCATTTTCTCTTAAGTGTTATGTCTATGGACTGTACACTACACAACAGAAACTGAACACTTAATATAAATGTTTTGGCTGTAGACAATAAAGATATTCAGTATGACTGGGCCAAATTGTATCAATATTTACAACTTAAAGATGATCATTGACATAAGGTAATAGCATTATATTGGACCACAGTCAGACCTTGTATATATCGTGCATTCTTGCATTTTCAATCGATTTTGAAAATCAATTGTTAATATTTTCCCAATCTTGCTTACTTCACATAACATGGCTGTAGATGAAATAACACATAGCAAGGCACAAAGAAACAGCAGTGCATGGGGTTCCTTATGTGATCAAAGCATCTCTATAACTACAAATAAACTAACTGTACTGGTAAACTCTATGCTTTATAGTACAGCCTGTTAATAACCAATCATGAAACATGGTACAGTGTCACAAACGCTGATACGAAATAATTCAGAAAAGATTCAAAAGTACTCCTAAAGAGTAGTTTAACCATTTTTTTTCAATCAACTTACAGTAACTGACAAAACAATTAGATGTGGTTCTCTAATTGAGAAGCATGTATTTGCAATGCTTCACTTGCACTCGGTTATTGTTTTTTTTCTGTGTTAGTACATATGTTTCAAAGTTCATCACTAAACAAAACTACAGGTGTACTAATGTTCATCTGCAGATAATCATCAAACTACAACTATCCGGTGCTTTCCAGTATAATCATTACTAAGCAACAGCTTTTCTTCCTTGCACCTTCCCCCACCATCTAGACTGCAGTTGGCATCTTGCGCAGAAAGTGTTCCAGTGCCATCTACAGGCCATGCCTTGTTTTCCTAATTTTAGATGCAATCAAGTAATTTGAAATCGTCTTAATTTAAATCTTTATTAGTGAGAAATTAATAGGCCTACACAAATAAATATTTGGCATGATAAAATAATAACTTTGTTGGTTTTCTAACCACTTTGTAGTTTGGGTACTTGTGATAATTCTTTTCAGGGAAGTTTAATTTGCAATAGAATCATTTCTACAGATTTCTGCAGGTCACTGCTGCGCTTTGCCTTGTTTGTACTGGGAAAAATACAATTAGAGGCGGTACTGATAGACTAGTAAAAGCTTTCAGTTACCTGTCGGGTGTGCAATGGGCCCTTTGTCTTGAAGCCTCCTTGGGAGCTACACTCTGAGGCACTGAAGTGGTCTGAACTAGTGGAAGAGCGCTTCGACAGGGTGTCACAGCCCCCAACGAAGGTGTTGTCCAAAGGGAGCTCCTGAATCACGTGATGCTTTTTCGCAGAAATAGGGGTGTCTGGCTTCAGATGAAAAGAGGGCTGCGGAGAGCCAGATTTGTAATGCCTCGCTAGGTCTGGGCTGTTGGGCTTAAATGTAGTTGGTGGTGTGCTGCCCCAGTCAAATCGCCCTATTGTTTGCTCCTCCAGCTCAGCTGGAAGGGTAATGGTTCCATTGATGGGTTCATGGGCAGGGTCATCAGGTTTGGATTCCTCAATGGTGACAAAGTTTAGAAGGGAACTCTTTGGAGATTTTCTTTTCTTCCTTTTCTTCTTTTTGTTCTGCTTGCACTCCTGATTGGGAGACATCCATTCAGCACCCTGCTTGTTCCTTTGCGTAGCCTTGAACCTTGAGGACTGCCGGCACCGCACCAATATTGTAACAAAGATGACCACAATCACTACCATGGCTCCCGCCACTATGGCGATCATTATGGTAAGGTAATCCTCATTTTGCCAGGGCTGGGTGCCATCTCCAATGTTCTTGTCTAGTGGAGTTTCAATTGTCCTCCGTATTAACTCATAGACATAGCTAGCATTGTTTACCGTGTCATTTACATACAAGTAGACAAGCACAAGTGTGTGCAAAGGTTTTGGATAACCTAAATCGCTGATGTTCACGACCAGACGGTGCAAGCCCTGGTCTGCGGCAGTCGGTTTCTCCTCCAAGGTAATATTACCAGTCACAGGGTCAATTCGAAACAAACCCTTGTTATTTCCGCTGACAATGCTGTATTTGAGCTCTGCATTCATACCTGTATCAACGTCCACAGCAAACACTTCTGCCACCACAGAACCAGGTATAGCAGACAGGGGTACTAGTTTGAATGAAGAGTTGGAGGGTGGGTAGATTACAACGGGACTGTTATCGTTGACATCTATGACATTGATCGTGACTTTAGCAATGGAAGTGCGGACTGGTCTCCCCCTGTCTACAGCTTTAACTTCGAACGTGTAGGAGCTTTGCTGTTCTCTGTCGAATGATACGTTGGACCTTATCACACCACTCAGTGGGTCCAGAATAAAATTTGCGTTGTCACCCACAACAGAAGCCATCACCTCTGCATTGGCCCCTGCATCCAGGTCGGTGACAGTAATCACTCCCACGGTGCTGTACTTTGGCAGGTTCTCGGACACAAAGAACTGGAAGTGGTTGTGGGTGAATTTGGGGTTATTGTCGTTCTCGTCTAGCACGGTGACGATCACGGCCGCTTGACTCTGCAGCGGAGGGTTACCGCTGTCCCTGGCAGTCACGGTGAAAATGTAACGCTCCTGCTCCTCCCGGTCGAAGACCCGGGAGGCGGTCAGGACGCCCGTCTTGCGGTCCAGGTCGAAAAACGAGGCGTTGGGCCCCAGCTGGTAGACGATCTCTGCGTTCTTGCCGCTGTCGTCGTCCGTGGCACTGACGGTGGTCAGGTAGAGGCCGCGGTGGTTGTTCTCGGGCACCGCCAGCTCGATGACGGGCTGGCTGAAGACTGGGGGGTTGTCATTCTCATCCTCCAGCTTCACCCTCACCAGGGCACTCTGGTTGAGGCTGGGTTTGCCTGCGTCTGATGCCACTATCCTGAAGGAGTACTGGTTGGTGCTCTCGTAGTCCAGGAAGGAGGAGGTTTCCAGGAGGTACTGGTTGTCATACACAGCTTTGAGGTGGAAAGGCACCTCCTTCTCAATGTAGCACACCACCTTGCCATTGACATCGGTGTCCCTGTCGGAGACGGTGATGAGGGCGATTTTGGTGTTGACCGGGTCTTTCTCCGAGAGGTGCACAGAGCCATTGACCGGGCTGATGATATAGCGGATGTCAATGCCGGGCGGGTTGTCGTTCACATCGGTGACATTGACGGTGACGGTGGCTCGGGCGGGGCTGGAGCTTCCGTCGGTCGCCAGCACGGTCATCTTGTGCAGCGAGACGTCCTCCCGGTCGAGCGGCCGCTGCACGGTGATGAGCCCGAGGCTCGGGTCCAGGGCGAAGTAGCGGCGGACGGCGGCGGGGGTTTGCGGGCTGAACAGGTAGCGGAGCTCGGCGTTGGAGCCCACGTCGGCGTCGGTGGCGTGGAGCTGGATGACCGAGGTACCGAGGGGCGAGTCCTCGGGCAACTGCACCTCGAGCTGGCTCTCCCGGAACACCGGGCGGTTGTCGTTCACGTCGCTGACGGTGACCTGCAGGATGGCGGTGCTGGATTTAGGGGGCTCCCCGCCGTCCTGCACCTTGATCTTCATCACGTAGGTATCCTTCTGCTCCCGGTCCAAGCCCCGTTGGACGATGAGCTGCGGCCACTTCTCACCCTCGGGGCTCTCCACCACGTCCAAGCCCAGGACGCTCTGCCCGTCTAACAGCTGATAGCGCTGCACGCCGTTGGCCCCGGTGTCCGGGTCACTGGCCGACGGGATGGGGAAGCGGCTGTTGGGCAGTGTGTTCTCCGGGATGGAGATGTTGATGACCGGCGACGGGAACATGGGCGCGTTGTCGTTCACGTCCCGCACCACCAACTTCACCTTGACCAGCCTGAAGTAGTCGTTGGGCAGGATCACCACCTCGATCTCGAACGAGCACTCGCTCGACCCCGACTCCCCGGCGCACAGCCTCTCCCGGTCGACCCGCTGCGAGCCCGTGTAGATGTCCCCGGTACCGCTGGAGACCCGCAGCAGCGGCACCTCGCCCGCCTTGGACACCAGGCGGTAGATGAGGTCGGCGCCGCCGGCCGAGATGTTCAGGTCCCGCGGGATGCTGCCGATCAGGATGTTCTCCGGCAGCTCCTCCTGGATGGTGTAGACCAGCTCCTGCGCCAGGGTACAGTCCACCGTCAGGCAGGCGACCAGAGCGAAGAGTAGGTAGAAATCCCGCACGTCCATCACTGCACCAGCAACAAACAAGGGACACCACTTCCCAAGCTTTGGTCACACAATCCAGACTTCAACCTGCACTACGCTCCTCAATAACAATTTTTTTTAAGAAAACACCCCTTTATCTCTCTAGCGTTGCTGGAAAACCAACACAAAATTGCACTCTGTTTGGAGCAAACAATCCATCGATGCTGCAAGTTTCTTGGCTTTTTTTTTCTTGTATTTCTGCAGAGAGAGGGAAGAGCAGGCAGCGAAGATTTTTTTTCTTTGATTCTTCTTCTTTGCGCGCGCCCCCCCCCCCAACCAACCCCACCACCTTGTTCCCTCTATCTTTCTGCCCTTCGCCCGCTCGGTGCAATATTTACAATGCACGGTGCACAAAACTGCCGGAGGATGCATTCAGTTCCCGGCCAGCCAAAGCAGCCTGCAGCTTCTCCTTGGTACGGTTCAACCGCGTGAAAATCATCATCGTTTTATACATGGGGAAGGGGAGCTGTCGGTGGTGGTGGTGGGAGAAGCGTAATCTCAGCAACCGAGCTGGCTGTAGTTTGCAATTATCCCACTATTGCGACAGTTTGCATGGCGAGAGAAGTTGCGAGGATACAGCAGACCGTGCACGGAATTGCAGGAGCTCCGCATTTTTTTTTGTTTTCCCCCCCCCCCCCCCCCCTTTCTCCGCTTTAAATCCAGTTTTCTTTAAATGCTGGTCCTTCCTCTGCACCAATTGCCATTCCACGTTTTTTTTTTGGGAGGGAGAAAGATGCAACGAACTTAAAACAAAAAAAAACGGCGGAGCTGTAACGAGATGCAGCAGGCAACACGAGTTTGAATCACCTGTTCTGTCCTCCGTTCCCTAAATCCTCCGTTCCTTTTCTCTCACACATACACACATCCACGTCTCTCTACTGAATCTTCTCCCTAACTCTCGATCAGCCCAAGTGAGTATAGTCCTCCAGGTCCCGCCCCTGGCTCTTGCGCCCATTCGCTACCCGCTGCCTGCCGCTGGGGGTGGGGGGGCCGGGGTGACAGCCCATTGGCTCCGGGAGCCGTCCATCATCCCCCTTAGCCTTGAAAGTTGTGCAGAATTCCTGATCAGCTGCAAGGCTGACGTCACCCACCAACAGCAAGTGACTGGTGAGGGGCAGGATTTTATCCCAGGCTCAGACAGACACACACACACACACACTCAACATTGACTAACCCACTCCTAGCCTCTCCCCCGTGCCCTGCTGCTGAGCTCCCTTATTGAACGTGGCATTAAGTGCACACCAATAAATTCACCTGAATGCATGCGCCTCAACGCACACAACGACCCACAAAATATGTAGCACAGACATGAAGCGATGTAAGAAACCGGTAGCAACTCTCCTCTAACCCACGCGGTTTGCAGGTTGCACAGCACGGGTGTGCATCTGAGCAGGGACTAGATACACAAGGGAGGTGTACAGTGAGCTCCGGAGGGAATGCCTCGCGTAGGAAGCATCAACTCCGGCAGAGTTGCGATGAAGAATCTATTTCTGTGCTGCAAATTGGATGCATTCGATTGCAGCGTTGCACCATTTTAAATATATACTCAATTAACAAGTGCCACGAGTGACAAGCGACATTTGAATATCAAACTGCAATGACTGAGGCTTCCAGTTGACAGCGGACTCATGCTAACACTAATTAAAGGCTGATCCCACCCCTTCCCTTTCAGGAAAGAATTCAGAGGTGTTTTGTTTTTTTTTCCCTTAATTAAGTGCGCAAAATGAAAATACTGTTCGAATTAAATTGCAATCATTTCATCTCTTGCAACAGCTCAAGGAAACAACCAGCGATCGGCTACCTGGAGGAGTATAGATCAGACACTGGTAATAATTGCACTGACCGAGAAAGAACTTCCATTTATTAACTGAATCATTCTCATTCAATCCGTACGGGCGCCCAGAGTTTAGCGGTTACCTCCTGAAAGCGCACGGAGAGTCGTGCCCCAAGTCTCCTCGACTTCCAGTAAGCAGTATTTGCGCATCACATTCTCTCTTCCTTCTACACTAGCTGTAAAAAACAAACCAAGCTGGGATTGAACAGGCAGGAGTGTTGGAGAGGGAGTGAGCAGAGCTTGGAATCTGTTGCCTCAAAGAGATGAAGGGTTAGTCGTGTTCAAATCGAGTACAAACAATAACCCCGATCTGAATGACCCAGTGTCATTGTATTTATCTAGCGCCGGAATTACAAGCAGGGCCCTCAAAATTGTTTTAAAGCGCGGGTCCGCAACTTATAGCGATTTGCATCTCCCGAGAAAATTTGATTTCAGGCAGTGGGTGAACACACTTTCACTAACGTGAAAAAAATTGAGTTACAACTTAAAACGCGCAACTGCGAATTATATAGCTCACTTATTCTCCACAAAACTATTTGTTATTCGGTCAGGCGGGATGTTGGTTTCATTTTATGTACAAGTTAAGCTCAAGTACATTCAGTAAGATACAAACTCTGCCGAAAAAGTTTTGCACGTTTAGTGGGGAGTTTTGTTTTTTGTTCCAAAAAATAACTTGTTTCAGGAGATTTTTGAAATTGAAATGCATGATCTACTAGGGATTGGGTTTAGTCCACAGGATGCCGAGAACTCCATGCTGTAAATTACACTAAGGCCATTTTTTTAAAGACTGTAATAACTGTAGGGGACAGTTCATTCATTATCCATTTGCTCAGACCCTACATCTCAGCACGGAAACAGCGATGCCAAGCTGAAATATCTGCAGCTGGGGGATAGATTACTAGCAGCCACTGTCTAACAGGAGACAAAATAAACAAGGGGCTCAGGGAAAACTAAAAGGGAGCTCACCGCAGCAACAAAACAGACACATTATTCCTCGAAACTTGCGTGAGGTTTTGTTTTCTAATATTTAAGTCGGAAATATTCGCCTTTAAACAAAGCAATTCCATGAAAAAAAAGTGACCCACAGTAATTTGTTATTCTGTTATTGGTTGTTTTTTATCCTTTAAAATTACGTGGACGTTCACATTTACGCGGGATGGACTGTTAAGGTCAGATAAATCAGCAGAACTTGAGTTTGTTTCACTGGTCTCCTTAAATGAATAGAGGGCCCCAAAACAAGTCTGTCTCTCAATTAATTTCTTCACGTTTCCAGCTAAAATGTTAATGTCTTTTTCATCAACCCCTTATATACCGTTTCAAGAGTAATGTGGACATGTAATCCGACATTTTATCCCTTTAAAGAAGCCCAGAGGAATTTGCGAAAACTTCAATACTTTATGATGACTTTGTGCTGGGAAATGGTGAATGTAATCGTCTCTGGAGATCATTCTCAAGAAATGAAACTGATGTTACTGCATTAGTCAAGGCTGCCATCTAGAGGAGCTTTTGTTTAATAGCAGCCTGTCTAATCGCAGACTTCGCCTTTCCGCTGTCCACTCGCACTTCGAGACGGCCATGCCCTTAAAGCTAAACATGTACTTTTTTAAAAAAAAGGAACCCTGCAATATTTGCGCTTTGCCGCATTCCACTACAATGTCCTTTGAAATGAACATTGTCGATACCTTCATGTACGTTTCTAATTAACCAAGGACAGTGCACGAACTTGTTCAAGTGTACCTTTTATTTAACAAATGTATTTATCCGCTTGAGCTTTTCTTGTCCATATTACGAAGACAGACTATTCTAACATTCAATAAGGTTACGGTTAATCTTTGGCATCGAATCGACTTTCAAACCTGCACCCTACATCCTTCCATTCACCGAATTCAAAAGTTTGTCAATCTTAGCTCTGAACATGATCGGGGGACTGAATATTCACTGACTAGGGAGAAAATTCCAAAAATTCAAGATGGTCTGATATTCTACATTATCCCGAGGTTCCAGACTCTCCAGCTACAGGAGACATTCTCTCAGCGCCTAGAATTATAACATTTTACGAAAAGTGGATACCTAATAGCAAGAAATAATACATACTGCAAGTATAACAATAGTTCTGTGTCTACAAACCAATGCATCAACATAGAACTGTGCAGCCCAGTACAGGCCCATCGGCCCACGATGTTGTGCTGAACTTTTACCCTAAACCTAAGGTCTATCTAACCTCCACCCCTACCTTATACTATCATTCAAATACCTATCTAATAGCAGCTTAAATGACCCTAACGAGGCCGACTCCACTACCCTCTCGGGCATTGCATTCCACGCCCCTACAACTCTCTGAGTAAAGAACCTACCTCTGACATCAACACAGAATTAAAAAGAAAATGTTGTTAAAGTGAAGAAAAAAGATATAGAAGCTAATGTTTCAAGACGATGACATTTCGTAAGAACTGGTTTTGGCCCACATGTGTTAAACATGAGAAGAGAAACTGAAAACAATGAAGACGATAACGCAAAAAGGACAAAGAGAAATCCTATTGGAGAGTAAAGCAAGATGGGCATTCTGAAATAGAAGTGAACGACACAACAACATGCTCCCGCTTTTCAACATCCTGAGTATGTAGCTTTTCTGGTGAACACAAATTCAGTTTTTCCAAATATATTTCAAATTATTACAACAAAATCAATTTGTATAGCATCCTTAATATGGTAAAACCCAGGACAGCTGACAGGAGCACTAGCAAACAAAACTTGACAGCTAGTCACAAATGGGAATGTTAGAAGGGGTGACCTAATGCTTGGACAAACTGATATGTGCCTTAAATAAGGAAGGAGCAGGAAAGAGGTGAAAGGGCATAAGTTTGGGATTATAGGAAGAAGACCTGAGGGTTGAGGCTTAACCGCCAGAAGGGAAGTGATTGAAATCAAGGATGTGCAAGAAGATATAATGAGCCACAATCCCGGAGGGCTATTGGCTGGACTAGTTCTCGGCAACAGGAAAGATTGGCTGGGAAGGGTTACTGTTTTGGATTTATAGCAGTCTACATGCTTATGGGCAGAAACCTATATTTTATGTTGGTATGATGGTTTCTCTAAGATGGGTTCTGGTAAAGTACCTTGCTCTCAATAACTGATCATGTAACCAACCTGCCTCAGAGTAGAATAGCAAATTTTCAACCAGGAGTAAATTATCGGGGTGCATGGATTTTTGGGTACTTTTCTGTTTGAGAAATTCCCAAATGAAGCTTTGAATCAGTACTCAAGTCAGATACTGACCAGAAATTGTCTGACTTATTCAAGTTGTGAGTCAAATAAGTATAGAATTTGTGTTGAGAAATTCAGTATAGATTACATTTATTGCAATTTTAGTATCTTTAATTTAACTATTTAAATGAGGGTAGTTATTCATA